GCAAACATTATTGAGTCAAGCTTAGCTGATGCATTATTAAAATCATTTACATGAATCAAGAAAAGCAATGGACCAAGAATTGACCCTTGCGGAACTCCACACAAAAATTTTTTTTTTTTTTAATTTTAATTCACCTCCTCAAGGCCGAGAAGGCCACTACAGACGAGGAGACTACTTATTTGTGGCTATAACCCTCTCTCAACTCTATAACTCCGAAAAACGAACCTTGACGAACAAGGCCGCTGCGCAGAGAAACGAGTTGGGCGCGGTACTACCAGGGACGTGGTGGGGATCGAACTCGGAACCACTCGTTTATGAAACGAGCGCTCTACCACTACACCACTACCGCAAATATTAAGTTGACCTGATTCCTTACTAATAACATATTATTTTCTCTCAGTGAGGTAGGTTTTTAACCAATCATAGGTTTTATTTATCACTCCATAGTGTTTTATTCTTTCCAAAAGAATTAGGTGATCAACCGTATCAAATGCTTTTGATAGGTCAATAAATAATCCTAAAGTGAAGCTATTATTTTCAAATCCTTTAGTAATTTGGTCTACTATTTCAATTATTGCGCGTTCTGTTGAATGTTTTTTTCGAAAACCAAACTGTTTTGTGTAAAATAAATTATTTTTGTAAAATATGTAATTTTAAAAAAAAATTTTGTGTAAAATAAATTAAAAATATTTTCATACATTATCTTCTTCAAAACACATGTGTACATAGTTTTCCATTTTAATCAAAACTCAAATAAAAAATTTATAAATTGACGTCCTTTTCTGACAACCTCCCTCCTCCCCTTGTCTGAAATTTGTCTTTTTATATCTCGACCTCCTCCCCCTCCCTATTTAGATGACGACCTTTATGGATGGCCCCAAAGTGCAGTTTCAACTATTTAGCATGAAGAAATTGCTCGGTGGTGCGAAGAAGAGCTAATTTCTACATATTCAAGGCCGACGACACGGGTTTCGAAGTGGAGGGGCACAATCTTTATTTTTTAAAAAAAGTCCTCTCTATCTACAATTTCTCTTGAAAAAGAAAAATATGTTCTATAAAAAAAAAAGCCGACGACACCCCCCGGTGTCGTCGGATCTGATGTTATTTGTTTTGGCTAGAATATCGGGACAAATCACTCTTTGGTGTGAAAATTTGTTCAGCTCAAAACAAAAATTGGAGTTGATTGATGTTTCTGATATATATGATTAATGGCAATGAGATCGCAATCAACAAAATCAAAATAAAATATTTGGTCACACATTTATGAGTTGTAACTCATTTCATCATTTTATAGAGAGGCAACTGAAAGTATGCCACTTTTACAATTTCAATGGCTTTACTCAAACAGTGGAAGCAGCGAAACGAAATAGAAAAGTTAAAATTTTGCAGGTAAGTTTGATTTTAGAAATAAAAACTTTATAAAAATTTTAACTTTACTGTAACTAAGGGGTCGTTCTTGAATTACGCCATGCTACAAGGGAGGAGGGGGTCTTATTGGTATTGCGACGAATCATACAAAACTTGCTTCTTAAGAATTGCGATTTTAGGATGCAGGGAGGGATGAGTGTTGGTGGGTGGTGGGAGGTCAAAAACGGTCAAAAATTGAGTGAAGTAATTTACGGGCGACCCATAAGGGAACCTTTTTATTTAAGACCACAAACACTTTGTGCTAAAGAGAAAATAACTCAATATATGTTGAATAAATTCCTCGTGCATATATTGAAAACCTCGTTGAAATCGAGGTTAAACGTGGTTCTTATCGCATGCTTTATCGTTGTGACTACATCAGTTTTATCCAAAAAGCAGAAAGAGAAAAATTTGTCATATACTTTAAGAGATTTAAAAAACCGGAGTCCAATCTAAAAATCGAAAATTATTTTAACATTTAAATTATGATAGTACTTGATGAAGTTGCTCAAGATGATTCGTTTTATTTTAAGATAAAATTATCATTATTCTTAAAAAAATATATATCTTTTTGTAATCTTTTGTTAGCAAAATATATTACACTAAAAACATGCTCAACTTACGCAACCTTCCCCTGAAGCTAAACTTTGCCACACAATTTACAAAGATGATACAATCATACAAGATTTTCGATGCATAATACGAACTGCTTCTGCAAATCTTATTTAATAAAAGTTTTTATTTGATGAAAATTTTTAGAAGATAATTTATTTCTGACTTTATTAAAGACAAGTACAAAACCAATCGCGATTAAATGCAACGGTAAAGCAAAAAAGTATCAAAAAAAATAGTCGAAAAACGGAGTAATATCAATTTTTATCGAAACGTATTTTTGGGATTAACTAATTTAAACATCATCAAATATATATATACAAATAATAATTTAAATAAAGTTAAATCGTGCAATATCGAAGAGTTCGCTTCGCCGAGTGGTTAATGTTATGAGCAGTGACGGCGGAAACCCGAGTTCGATTCTCGGTAAAGTTGTATTTTACGATTTTTAATTAATGAAACACATCAAATAAAATAAACTACACTTAAGGCAGACTTTTTTTTCAGGCACCGTTTTTTAGTAAATCTGTAAAAAGCCAGTCTTACTCGAGAAGAGTAATATTGAAAACAAAGCTTAAAACCATACCCCGTAATTAGAGGGGGTGGAGTGTTGTGGAAGAGGGGCAAATTTTGAGACCCTAAAGACACGTTTTTTTTTTAAAGGGAGGGGGTCTCCGACCCATTAGTCATTGCACTGCTAAAACCTGTTTTTTGTTTACTCATATAATAGGCAACCTAATTTTTGCACATAGGGGAAAGCGGGGCAACATGGCGAATGGGGCAAGATGGGTTTTCATATAACAACTCAACAAAAAATCTTAAAATTGGGTGAAAACAGAACTGTATTTGCATCTTGTATTTTAAAACACTAATTGGCTTTTTGAAATATTATTAACGCAATTTTATACACATAAGTTTACTTTTAGCGCCTAAAAAAAAATTCCTCACTTTCGGTTTCTCATAATGGATGGTGCCCTTCAAGTTTAACTACTTTAGAAGTAGTTTTTTGCAATTTTTGTTTATTTTTTGTTACTTTAGTTAGAGTTATTGGTAGTTTTAAAAGTTTTATAAAATTGGAGGTAAAAATTGCATAAAAAGTTATCTTGCCCCGGTTACGTGACCAGATGACAAATTTATGAACTTTTTATTTTAATATTTATTTCAAGTTGTTATATTTGCAAACTAAAAATTCATGCAGGCAATGAAAGAATTTAATAACATAAACATACTGAGAAAGTATTATGTCTTCACGACTTATAGTTTTGCAACAACTCAGGGCTTTCAAAACGTTCGCCATGTTGCCCCGCTTTCCCCTATATGCACACATGCCACCCCTTATATAATGGCCCTGTGTATACTCAAGGCCAGTATATAAGGGGTGGCATGTGTGCATGGGTAGAATTTTTTGAAGCATGACATGGCATGTGTACTGCAGGATTTTTTGATGTTCCAGATAGGACACTTTCACACATTGTGCAAACTCTAAACTTAAGTATGTTTATACCTATGCCAAATAAGGAGATCTTGAAAAAAATTGGGATGGAGACTTGTGAACAAATAGCCCTGAAACGCGCGTCCCTGCACAAACAAGAGAGCATTTATGTAGTAAAATTTTTAACTTAACGATCTAAAACTAAATTCAAGTTTATCGACAGAAATTAATTTTCTTTTAAAAATAATGTAGATCTCAAAAGTTGTCGATGCAAAATGTAAAGCCCCTCATTTATTTATTTTTATGGGGAAGGGGGTCGGAAAATATTACTACATTAGTGCCCTCAGGTTTGAGCAGGGGAGGGAATGCAAGTATTTGAGGGCTTTTTTGTTCCTAGAAATTGTTATGGCTACCGCCATAACAATTTCTTGCAAGGTCTTTTCAAATGGCATAGGTATAAACATACTTAGGTTTGGAGTTTGCACAATATGTGGATGTGGTTTATCTGGAACATCAAAAAATCCTGCGGGCGCCCATGCATGTGTGTGCATACAATACATCTTTTTATGTTGGCAAACTACGAATGTTCTATTGACTAGCTTGTCAATTGTGTAAAATTAGAAAATCGAAGTACGTACTTTTAAATTGAAACCTCCCCCCTCCCCCTATTAGCGTACGTACTTTATGGACGACCGCTAACTATTTCTTGACCCTATAACTCAAATCATCTGATGCATTTTATTTAGTGTTGATAACAACATGGGCCCCCGCAAGACTTTTTGAGGTTTCAGATATAGTTTCCACATATTTTGCAAACTCCAAACATAAGTATACCTATGCCAAAAGGAAGCTTTGCAAAAATTTGGGATGGCGGAAGCCTGTAAAAAAAATTTTAGTTAAAAATAGTTATATTGAAAATTTTACATCAGTGCCCTCACGATTGGGCAGGGGGAGGCAAACGTTTTAGGGCTTTTTTGTTCCCAGGCCTCCACCATCCCAAATTTTTGAGTTTATTGAAAGAAAAAATCTGTCAATAAAACTCTTAATTAATAAAATTTAAAATTCAAAAAAACTGAATAAATTAAACTTAAAAATGATTATAATATTGTATATAAGTTTATTCAAGTGTGACCATTGCTTAATAAATCAAGCAATGGTCACACTTGAATAAATTTACTTCTGATCAAGACTGACAAATATAACTGACATATAATCTTTTTGTATTTTTATATAATTTAATATACTACAACTTAATAAATATTTATTTAAATTTCCTTAAAAAACTTGCCCAACGTTGTTAAACAAATCAATTTTAAAAACACTGAGTATATCATTTAGAAAACAAAATATATAAAAAACTCCCTTTTTTTAAATAAACTCAAATTATACAATTATAAAACTATAACAAATCTAAAATTAAAAAAAATACTTTCTTTGACCTTATTTTATTAAATTTCTTATTTAGATAAAAAATAAAATGAAAATTTCTATATTTTATCTATTTTAGTGAACACCTGTATGATTATTGAAAATGACTCAAAAAACTTACCTAAAATAGAATACAAAAGGATAGATTTTTCATTGGGTTTTTTTGAAGGATTCAGTTCAACAAGAAACTTTAATAAGCTATTTTGGCTTTTGTTAAATAATCCACAAATCATTGATAAACAACTCTTTAGCTTATCATTGGCCATAATCTCATCACAACTCAAACAATTATATGCATAAACAGATGCACAAAACTCCATTATTGTCAAATGAGCGAACTGATAATAACAACCCAGATCTGTTTCAATCCTTTCTATAAATCCATAAAAATTTTCATTTTTATCAAAGTCAAAGTCAATAAAGGTTTGAAGATCTTTTTTGGAAAAAATTATTTTATTTAAAACAAACAATTCATACGCAATTTTACAAATATTTAAAATATATAGTTTATTAGAATTCATTTCGATTATCTGATAAATCATTTCATTGTTTTTGATGATGTGTATTTTTAAAAAGTATAAAAAAATATTCGCATACAAATCTGTCATTGTTAAGAAAGAATTAGTGTTTTTTTTTTTTGAATCACTTATAATTTTACACATGGAAGATAAATAAAAAGGAACTGATGCCATAGCTTTTGCAATTGGAGATTCCTTTAAAGTTGCTTTTACAATTTCTTTATTTTCTTCAGTAACATGACTTTCTACATAATTCGTTATTCCATTTTCGTTAAACCCCATTATTTGAATGGTTAACTTATCACTATGATCTGTATATAAACTTTGGTATTGATCTATTGCATAAACTCTACCAGCAACTAAATGTTTATATCTTTGAATTTCTGCTAAAACATTAACAATAGGATAGTTACACTTTAATCTTGGGTTTGATAATTCATTGAAATATTTAAACTCATCTAACCCATCAATTATAAACAGTACAGTATGATTACTAATATTAAAGTTGCTTATAATGTCTTTGTAGAAAACGCTTAGTAAATCGTTAATATTTGAAATATTTTCATATTGATTAATCCTTCTGCATTCCAAATAAAAAACAAGTTCAACATTTTTCCAAATTATATCATTTGACCAATCAAGCAAACATTTTTTAAGCAACCATGTTTTCCCAATACCAGCTATTCCAGATATTAATATTACTGATTTTTCATTCATAAATATTTCACTATATGGAATTGAAGTATAACGCACTTGTTTTTCAAGAAATTCCTTTCGTTCAACACTAAAAACAGCATCCTTTTGGGTTTTTGCTGCATCAACAATACATAGATCAACAAACTTATGCATTAGATCAACATTTTCAGGTGCTTTTAACAGTGGTTGAAGTTCACTAATTTTCCCATAATATTTAAGATAAAAGTTTTTTAGTTCAGCAGTCACCCTTGATAAATCTAAACAAAACAAAACAATATTTAGTAAAACCATTATTATGATTTAGTTAATGTTCATGTTCATAACAATGACGATCATTGTTACTATAATTTTATATAGACATAAAATAGTTATAATTATATACTTGACATTTCTTATAAATCTAATGAACCTAAATAATTATTTTTAATTTTATTTTTATTGATTGAAGATTAAAGTTACTTGGGTTTAAATTTTTATTTGTTTTTAAGTCTGAAAAAGTTTTCATTCAAGCTTAAAGTTATTACTTTTAACAAACTTCTAAAAATACTTTTGATTTAAATTTGATTAAATTTATTACTTAAGAAAAACATTTTTATTTGAAATCTTTTTATCGTATCATTTCAAACAAACTTCTTACTAAAGGCTTAACAACTTTATCTAAATTATATATTTGTTTTTTTAAAGTTTTCAAAAACATGAATATCTGATAAATAAAACGATTAACAATAAAAACTTTAATTATTCAGCAAAACATTGAGATGTTTTAAAGGCAGTTTCATGTGAAGATGATTCTTTTTATAAAGCTTCGATAGATGAATAAAAAGTTGGACACCCAAAGGTTGGAGGTAATAAGAAGCCTCCTACTTTAATAAAAAGAGGAATCTTTTTTTTTTAAAAAGTGCTAAATTATAATGCCATTTGCTTATGAAAACAAAATGCCATTTGATTTCTAATTTGTCTAAAGCTATTTGTGCTGTGCTCTTATTTCTAGCTTTATATGCAGCAACTAATAATATTTAAATAATAAACTTGTTAGCTGTACATCAATGAAAACAGCAGTCAAACTTTAGTGGGATTTATAACTTGAATTAAGTAAATGAATAAAGAATTTGTTTGTTTCCACACGTAAATGAATACTAGTATCATAAGTGACATATTTAACTTGATTCTACTTTAACTTAATTTGAAACAAAACAAACTTAGATAACTGTAAAAAAAGTTTACTTAAAAAATTATAATTCAGTTATCATGTAAATTTTTAAATTTAAAAGCCTAGACTGTTAACAAGTATCTAAAAAAAAAAAAAAAAATAAAATAAAATGCCTAAATAACTTTTTTTAGGTCAAATAGAAGGTCTATTTAATTCATATCAGCAGCAGCCAGATCTAAAGATTTCCTTGAACGCCATGAACTCTTTAAAAAGAACCATGTTCCAGTAAAAAGCAAATACATATGATTCCATTCTACAACCTTGAAGTTGAAGCACCAACTTATTTAGTCAAACTTGAGCTACTTTGAGCCTCTTTGAGCTACATTGATGATGATAATAAGATCTTCTGAATTTAAACAAAAACAACATTAATTTAAGGTGTATGTATTTATTAATTGGACTTACTTACAGAGGTGGAAAAAGTAAAGAAAAATTGTACTTAAGTTACTTGAGTGAAATTTTACTTAAGTAAAAGTTAAAGTTACCGGTCGAAAAGTTTACTCAAGTAAAAGTAAAAAGTGGTAAAAAGTTTAAAATGTACTCAGAGCAAAAGTTACTGCGTTACTATTTTAACAACCTGTCATATAACAAAGCTGTCGAATAAAAAAACAAAAAAATAACGTAGTCTATTCTTTTCTGTAATTAAATTTTATTTCCGAAAAAAAATTTTTATGATCAAAAAAAGTGAAATGAAACCAAACTAATGCAGTTAAAAGTCGATATTAGTGCACTTAACTTTTTTTTTTAATAATTTTATTTGTTTTTAAGTCTGAAAAGGTTAAAGTTATTACTTTTAACAAACTTCATTCTCGAAAACTTCTAAAAATACTTTTGATTTAAATTTGATTAAATTTATTACTTAAGAAAAACATTTTTATTTGAAATCTTTTTATCGTATCATTTCAAACAAACTTCTTACGGGAGGCAGCTAAACTTAACAACTAAAGGCAGCTAAAGGCAGCTAAACTTAACAACTTTATCTAAATTATATATTTGTTTTTTTAAAGTTTTCAAAAACATAAATATCTGATAAATAAAACGATTAACAATAAAAACTTTAATTGTTCAGCAAAAAATTGAGATGTTTAAAAGGCAGTTTCATGTGAGTTTTCATTTTATTAAAGTGAGCGAAACTCAAAAAAACAAAAAAATTAAATCATAGTATTAGTGAAACTAAATAATACATAAATTTTTTTACTCAGTTATGCATATGATTTCAAATGTAGCGAAATACAATACTTTAGAAAAAAAATACTGAGGGTTTGATATAGGGTAGCAATCGTTTAATTCATAATTCTTTGTTTTTTTTCCTCTTTAAAAAAACTCTAACATTAATTGTCTCCCTAAATCAGATTTCTCAGCTGCACTTACCATTGACTCAATTACCAACATAGTATTTGAGAACAAAATTTCTGCAAATGAACAATTGATTTTCGAACAGCAAACTGAATTATTTAAAATAAAACAACCTTATGCATTACAAAATGTTTCAACTGATTCAGTTTCACAGACAATTAAACAGGTTTTGAAATTAATTGTAGATGATTTGATAAAGAAAGTTCAAGTCTGTTAAAAATGAGTACAAGTTCTTTCAAGTATGAAAGTAACTTATTTAGTACTAATTTTTTTTTACAAAACTTCACGAAATGGATACTGTTTTTATAACGCAAAAGAAACTTTTATTAGCTAAAAAAAAAATTCTACAACAAATTATTAAAGAAATTTAAAAGATTGCAATTTTACATTTCTTTAAGATGAACATATCAATCATGCTTTTTATCTAAAAGAAAGTTAAATCAGACACTATGTTTATATATTGCCAGATCAGGATTATAAAACCTTATATTACTATATAAGGTTTTATAATCGTGATATGGCAACACGAAATAATGCATGTAAAAACAAGTTAACTTGCATTATCCATGGTTGATTTAGTTTTAAAGATAATTATTGAAACAAGATATTTCTTCTTATAACTGTTGTTTTTTTCGCAGTATTATTAACTATATATTCTAAAACAAACTAAAAACTAGTTATATACTACTGCATTTTAAAACTTTTTTTAAATTTTAATAAAGAAATAAAAAAAAAAAATTGAAAATAAAAAAAAATTTTGTGCATTTTTTTTTGGGCGCTCATACTGCTCCAGCAATACTAAAACAGGTCTGGGTTCATCCCTGTTAGTTGTACAACAGTTTGCCTACAAAATAAATGTATTCACTTATAAACCATTACTCCACATTCCATATAAATTGCTGTAATTTACAAATGTTAATTAACATGTCTGATGTTAAGGGTCTGGTGCGACCTCTAAAAAGATTTTTTAGTAAAAAACATTTTTTAATCCAGTAATATTTTAATAAATTAAACAAATTAAAGGTACCAATATATATACTTTTAAAAGTGTTGTCTTTTGAACCAACCTACCTGCTGTTATTTTGATTTTTTTAGTCAAAGTTATTTTAACTTCAAAAATTATAATACTTTCACTTTTTTTAACCACATTTTTTAGATTCATATGAAACAGAAACTGTTGAAATTGAATTAAAAACCGCATTTAATTTTTTTCTAAAAATTGAAAATGTCTAAAAAATGAGGGGGTCCTAAAATTTGTATGGCAGTACTTTTTAATTGCTAAATTATTTTGATGAAACTTAAAACCCAATTATAATTTATGATCATATTAAAAAATAAAAAAATTTCTGTTTTTTTTCAAATATAAGTTTTCCTTAATAAAAGTTGGGCAAGGGGCATTTTTTAGGGGGTATTTTTGTTCCAAATCGCATATCAGTGATTTGCAATCTGAAACAAAAATTCAGATTTTTTTTAGTTTTCCTCCACTTCCTTTAGTTGAAACCAGTGCTGTGACAATGATTTTCAATCATCATTTTTTCAATTATCATTTTAAACATTAGTGTTTATCTTGTTTAGTTTTATTTGAAGATAAGGAGTTGATTTAAAATCATTTTTTTGAATGAATTTGCCGGTGGGCGATATTTAACTTAAGTTAAGATAAGAAAACTATTTTACTTAAGACTTTAAAAAACACTTTTGTTGCAAATACCACGCTATTAGTTATTGAAAATTACTAATTATTGAAAATTGTTTGAAGTACAATAAACATTTATTAACATTTATTAACATTTATTAAAGGTAAACAATTTTTGAATTGACTTTTAGGCATATTTTAAATTAAAGATAATTAAAGTAGAGAAAATTACAGTTAACTATGGCTTACTAAATTACAGGCCTTGCTAATGCGCAGCTTGCCTAAAAAGCTGGAGGCAATTTTTGAAATATTATTTGATACATTTTAGTAAAGTGATTTTTCCCCTATTGTTGTTTTTATGATATATCTATTAAAAGTAACTTATAAAAAAAGAAAAAAATGATTTATCAACCTCTTTATTTTAATTTTGTTTATAACAAACACGTTTTTATTTAATTTTTTCATTTTAAATGAACTAAGGTTTATCTAAAATTAATTGTGTTTCAACAAGTTATTGTAAGTAAAATTTATAAATTGCTAACACTTATTTCCAGCTTTTATCACAAAATTTATTGAGTTTTTAAAATGAAATTTTTGAGAAAAAAGAGAATAAAATTTTTGTAGAATATAAAAAAAAATACAAGTTCATAAAGATATTTTACTAACCATAATCTTTTTTACAGTTTTTTATTTAAAACATTGCAAACATGTTAATTTGTGCTGAGGTTTCACCTTCTGTTTTGGCTCCTTGAGTGAACAAGATGAATAGAGTTAACAATAATTATTAAATAAAACAGTTGTCATTGTTAGCCCATGATGTCATTCCATAACTAATAATAGTATTCTGATACCATCATAAGGAGGTTACATAGTGGTGACTGACAAGAGTCATTGTACACTTTATAAAAAAGAATGTAACAGTAAGTTGCCTATTGGCAAACTTTGTCACCAGGAATAGTAAACCTCCATTTATATTCTTTATAAAAATGCCGTATGCAATAAAAAGTATCATTTGGATTTTCAACTATACAAATAATGAATGCAGAAATATATACTAA